TAGGAATAAATAAACTTTTTAACATTGATGGGGAGACCACAGAGTGATACACCTTCTCAACTAAAGGGTTCAGGAACTAATCTGAAGGAGGAATATAGCGCTGTAGGAAAGATGATGGCATAAACAAGGTTCTAGGCCTGGGGAGAAGAAAGTTACCTTCTCCCTTGGGGTATGCTACTGTCATCTGGAATTAAGGCCACATAGGCAAAGCCTTAATGTCAAACCACCTGCAAGTTCAAAGTATAGCTCTCATTCTCTACAAACCTAATGTCCACTCAACGTATCTAAGATCCAACTTTACTCTTCCACTACAGAAACTGTCCTCCCTGTGAAATCAAAGAACTTCCTGGGTGTTGCAATGGTCTGCTGATAGAAAGACTGACCTCATTTCTCCATCAGTCTCTACACCCTCACCCTCTAGTTCTCCTACATTCCTTATCACTCCTTCTTGCTCCCAAGTTCCTTTTCTTCTGTCTACTTCCCCTTCCCCTTCTCTTCTATTGTTCCTAGTTGACATCTATCACCAGTGAACTCTCAATTCTAAATCATGAATATTTGCCTCTCTCCTGAGATTCAGTCCTTATATCTTCCTACTGGATATTTTCTTACCTCTCATCTTTGCAAGGCACCTCAAAAACTACCTGTCAAAACTTAAGTTCATCATCTTCTCCCTAAAACCTGCTTGCTTTTCTTTATTCTCCCCTTAGGTTAGTGACATCACCTTACTATCAACCCAGAAATGTTATTGCTTCCCTCTCCAACTTTTGCCATTCATTAAGCAACTAGACATCCACTGTAGCTTCCTCAGTATAGATTTCCAGACCAAACTGGGAGTCCAACGTGGCTCCACTGTGTTTCTATATGGGCTGCTCATGTCCCATCATCCCACATGGATTCCTGTGTTAGATCTGTTCCACCTGCCTCCAGAACCACTGCATTATTACCACTCAAGAAACTTAAATCACAGCCAGATACAGTGACTCACACCTATAATCCTAGCTTCTCAGGAAGCAGAGATCATGGTTTGGGGCCAACTCCAGCAAAGGGTGCCTAAAACCCCATCTCAACCAACAGAAAATGGAAGTGGAAGTACGTGCATGTCATTCCTGTCATCCCAGCCCTGAGGGAGGCATAAATAGTAGGTGGGCCAGGTCAGCATAATAAGTACAGCAACAATGGACTAGAGGCATGGCTCAAGTGCTAGAGCACCTGCCTACTCCTGAGTTCAAGCCCCTGTAAGCAGCTACCTACCACTCATCCCACCCCCGAAGAAAAGAGAGAGAAAATAAATCTCCGTGTGTAGCCTCACTTGTTTATCATGTCCACAAGCATCCTAAAGTCATGGGGTGAGAGGGCCCAACTTGGCAAGCCTATCATTATCTACCAAACTCCCAGCACTGCCTTTAGATCTTTGCCCACACTAAATGTGGTCAATGGTGACATCATGTAGAATCTGCTAACATAAAAAAAAAAATCACAGGTCCCACCCCAGGCCTCCTTATAAGTATGATTCAGATGGACATTAAAAGTGTGAACAGTGTTTGTGAGCTGCTTTATATGCACTGAACTTCTCAACTCCCGAGACATATCACACCCTTCAGATCTCCATGTCTTGACAAAAACTACACCATCTACTTAGAATGTTCTACCACACCCTTTGCAGCCTGCAATGTCCTTGGCTAGCATAGGGCATGGTTTAAAGTAGCTCATAAATACGTGGATGACTGAATGATTTGATCAACTAGCTAATGGGTGAGTTCATTCAGGGACTTGAGAACCTGAGGTATTCAAGCAGAAATTGACTGTTAGGCAGTTGAAAATATCCAAAGTGGGCCTAGCTGGAAATAGTTTCATTTATTAACTACTTTGAGGTTGCAGTGTTGGATAGATGAGGTCACTCAGGTTGAAGGTGGATTTTGAGAAGGCTATCGGCCAAACCATGGAAAAGATGACATTGAAGGGACTTATTTAGGCAGTGAACGTAGACCAAGTGGTTGGGAAGAATCGTTAAGTGCCAAGGAGCTTCAAAGAGATAAACTATTTGGTACATGGGTTATCTTTATTTTTGGCAACTAAATGAGGGAAGTAAAAAATAAGAGGCATGGTGGTACATGTCTATAACTCAAGCCCTCCAGAAGCAGAGGCAAGAGGATCCCAAGTTCCAGGCCAGCCTGGACCACACAAAGTTCCAGGCCAGTCTAGACTACATAGTGAGACCCTGTCTAAACAAACACTCAGAAAAAAAAACAGTAAGGGCAGAGATAAAGCATTGTGGAATGACTATAACAAGCTATTAACATATGTATTATCTCATATTTATTTTCTTGTGGTGAGACACTTAAAATCTACTCAGCGATTTTCAAAAATACATTGTGATTAACTACAGCCAGCATGTTAACAATAGATCTCTGGAACTTACTCATCCCATGGAGCTGAAATATTATATCCTTTAATGAACACCTTCCCAACCCCTCCCCAGGATCTCCCTTCTCAGCACATCAAGGAACAGGCACACAGAAGACAGTGGCTTGGCCACCATGAAATGGCTAACAAGTGGCTGGGAGATGGGGCTTCGTTTTAGTTTCACTCATGTTGGCAGTGTGAAAACCAGCAGCACCCCATTACTTTAAAAAACTTTAAGTAATGCTGATGTTGCAGGCGAACGAGCCAGGTCTGTTTTCAACTCTAAGTCTTGGACAATCCTGGAGCCTTCCTACTGCCTCAAAAGTGTCCAACTAAGATCATGAAATTAAAAAAACTAACCAGAAAGCCTCAATATTTGGAGCACAATCAAACCACCACAGTCACCAGTGGTAGAAATTAAGATGTCATTGGGAGGTCATCAAAGAGGAAAGTGGCATTCCAGGGGCATAACAGCATAGTGATACAAACACCGATTTGTGACCTTGGCTAGTTATGTTATGTAACTACTTCATCCCTCAGTTTCTCTACTTGTACAATAATCAATACCTTCAAGAGTTGCCAAAGTGTATATAAGGCCCATAGAAAAGTGCCTGGAATCTAATAGCTGTCCAGTCACAGGTTTAATTTTACTACTACTACCTCTCTACCACTTCTGCTACGATTAGTAATAGTAATAGCAACAATGAAAACGCATCAGACAGAGTTCCGTCAGCAACCAAGGTATAACCCCAAATTCTTTACACCCTAATTAGACAAATCTAAAGAAATATTTACCATTACTGCACTGCTGTATACATACTTTGTTTTGCCAACAGTCAATCATATTAACACAGAACTTGAATTCATAGCAATGCATTTCCAAACTGGTCAGCCATACCTAAAGAATAATCAAAGCTGTACATCAATCACACAGATTGTAAGTTGTTTCTTAAGCTGAAAACTTGGGGGAGGGAGAGGAACAGTTGTCTTGTTTAGATGAAGACATTCATCCTTTAATGATCTGTCCACTACACCCTAATTAACACTTACTTTATAAGAAGGGTGACTATGTGTATTTAAATAACCTTAACTGAGAATATGCCTATCCAAGTGAGACATTCCAGAAAAAAATTAAATACAAGTACCTGAAGATTCCCTCACACACACACACACAATCCTCCACATGTAGTTTATTTCTTCCACCTTCCTGAGTTAGATGTGATATAAATATTTTTATCCAGGAAACACAACCTGGTGTTCTCAACTCAACTTCAGTTTAGGTCTTGACAAAACAAAGATGGGAATGTACCACGTAAACTGGTTTTGAGATCCTTCATTTTTTTCCCGAAAGATTTACTTTCGAAATTTCAGCCAAACCTAAATGAATATGTATGAAAAAAGGTGGAGGCAGTTTTACAGCCTCAGGTCGAAGATTAGACTTGTTAATAGAATGTTGATCCCATGAGTAATGCTCGCAGCTGTGGCATCCAACAATGGAATTAACATTTCAACAGGAAGCAGAGAGCCATCCCAACAGACAGGGCCACCCGATCCCGCCTCAGAGCGCTTCACATTCAGAGCGCTTCGCACACATACAAAAAAATCCTTCCGGAGGCTACACAAAGTGTGCCTCCCAGAGTCCCACCTATGGATTTTTTTTTAAATGACTCATTTGATTATAAAATCCCGCAAGTGCTTGGTCCGACAAAGGAGATCAGTCAGCTAAACACTGACATGGAAAACGACCAGTTTCTGGATATCAGAATGTTTGTGCTTTCTAACGATTCACGCATTTTTTAAATGCCTTCCTATTCCCTCCCAGAAAAAGGTTCTACCGAAAAATGTACTTGGCAATCCTTTACCGGGATTACCCTGTACAAGTCATTACTTGAACCTCATTATCTTAAAAATGAACCAACTCATTACAAATTCAAACCCTAGATTGGTAAATTCTCTCTTGCACTAGATTTCCCACGGTCTACTTCATAATTTGCCGTCTAGTAGCAGCTCTGGTTTGCGCTAGCCTCTTTGGGGAGACCAAGAACGTCCAGGCTGGTGCTGTTTCAGCACCTCTTTCCTAGAGGTAGCCTGAGCGATCGGAGGCACTGAACGGCTCAGTGTCCTCTGAATAATGGCGTTTGTAATTCAGTCTCCCTGCTTGGACTACTCGACACCTGAAAACTCGCCGCCCAAGGCTTGGAAGTTTGGTGAGGCTAGGACACAATACGCGGGAATAGGCAGGAGCCACTGAAGTCAAGCCATACCCAGGGAAGGAAGAGTCCGCCGCGGAGAAAGAGGTGCAGGAGACGCACCCGGCACGCGGTGCCCAGGACCACCGCGGCGGCCACCGCGCCCCCCGGACACCCCACGCCTCCCGCGCGCTCCCTTCAGGGCTGCCCCACCCTCGTGGCTCGCGCGCCTGGCCCCGCGCAATCCCCCTGGTGCAATTGTGCCCACCCGGCACCACTACCGCAGAGCCCCCAAATCGTGCCCGCCCCCTCCCCCACGCCCCATTGTTCCCGGTGGCCGCGGGCTGCGAGTGCCCCCCCAAGCCTAGCCGGGTGCTAGGAACCGAATGCCCCCCCCATTCCACTCACCCGCGGCGCCGCACAGCAACGCGAAGCGCAGCAGAAGCTCCATGGTGGCTGCTCGGCCGTGGGTGGTGGCTGCAGACAAGGCGGCTCTAGCTCAGGATCTCAGTCTCCCCGAGCCTCGCACACTCCCGACTGTCTCCGGGCGGTGGCAGCGGCGGCGGCACCTCTGCGTCCCCGCCCCTCCCCCGCCCCTCCCCCTCCCCAACTCGGCAGGTGAACTCGCGTCACTTCCGGCATGGTCCCGGGGCGCGGTGACTAGTGCCAGCTGAGGCTGCAACTCTCCGAGTTGCCATGGCAGCCGGGCGCAGCGCGCGGCGGTCCGGGGAATCCTCCAGTTGTGGTCATTCCCGCGCCAGCAGCGCCAGGCACCGAGTGCGCGGGTCGCACCTCCCACGCCCTTCAGCCTGAGCCGTGTGCCCGCCTTCATCCCTTCAATTAAATCGATATTTTGTGCCCTGGGATCAGGCCAACCGGTTTCACCAGACAACTGCAATCACGCCCTCCCTTAGGGTGCGGCAATGACAACGCCTGCGCTCCAGTCCCTAGACCCAGAGGAGGCTCACGCATTCCACCTGCCGGCTCCCACTCCGCCTTCCCCTTGGGGTAGTTAAGGGTGCAGGCCTCCGGGCACTTGTCCCAGCCTCGGCGACTTGCAGCAGAAAAACGAGCTGGACAATCTCCGGTGTTCTGCTGAATGCACAGAGTCGGATGGGTGGGTGTGAAAAGCGCGAGAGAAGGCTTTTCTCCCTCACCAGTAATGACTGAACCCATAAACGTTGGCCACGATTTCAGAAATACTCGTTTGGTTGTTTTTCCTCCTTGCTTTTATAGGCTGTTCTTTCCCTGAAACTGGCCACAAGGACCAGGGAGCTTTAAAAGCGAAGCTAAATGAGGGTGGCTCAAGGAATTAGGTAGGGTGGGGAGTGAGGGGCACAAGGATTTAGGGATCTTCAAAGTCTCTTCAACCCTACAGTGTCGCCTCCTAATGTACTCCATGCTCGTTCTTGTGTCATTTGCTGCTGTTCTTGGTTACTTTTCCCAGATAACGTTTATTTATAACTGCAGAGAGACTTTGGATTGCACGACAGTCCCTATCAGTGAATTAGAGAAAAGAAGCGATGTGGCTCCTCGGGTAAGAGCTTGGCTGCTATGTGGGCAAGTTATTTAGAAGTGTCACCTCCCGAGGTTGAAATAAAAATTAGATGAGATAATGCATTTTAAAAATGGCTGGCACCTTGCCTGTCATGTAGTAAGTACTCAGGAAGTGAAAGTTAATAAAAAATAATATTGGAAAATTCTTGCTATTTATTGAACCAGAAAGGATAAAGGGCAAAGAAATTAAGTATCAGCAAGACCAAAATTGTCCAACAGCAATTCAGGCCAGTTGGTTGCTAATGTGCTACACATTAAAAATCTGTGGAGAAATTTTCAAAAATATGCACCACTGCCTGAGCCTCACACCAGTAATACTAATTTAACTAGATTTGAGTGGAATCCTGTCTTACCTAAAAGGAGTCCAAGTATAGATGTGAGACATAAACAGCGGCTATCAATTTCCTATTAATTGAGGAAACAGGAGTTCTATTGTACAATTACACATATCGAGTATCTGAAATTTACAGTTTCATTTACCACATTGTACTTTATGAAATTAAGTAGAAAAGAACAAGTATTGAAGTTGTTTGTATCCATTTCACAGACTCAGGAGAACTTTTCCTTTATTGTAGCTCATATTTGTTATATTGTTGTTATCCTTAGGATCTACTCTAGTAGAAATTAAACCCACCCTCCAGGATTATTTCAGCCACTTATAAAAGTACATCTTAGAAATTACCCAAAGGAATTTGCATTTTACTCTATTTGGTAGCACTTTTTCTTATAATCATCACATTTTGCCTCCTTCTCTGATAGGCATTTGCATACCAATTAATCACCTCTTGCTGTGAATATTTCTAGAAAGCTGAAAAGTCACACTAATTCATCTGTTACAGAGCACATAGTAGATTCTCAACTATTTGTTAAATGTTTATTTTCTATAGCATGCTATAAAATTATTTAAATATTCAAATTTATTTAAATATTCATACAATGGCAAACCATTCCACCTTGATAAATCTTTTGAGAAAGTACTTTTTAAAAGGTAAATTGTAAACCATACTTTTAAAATGTAAATTTTAAGCCAAGCATGTTTGCTCATGCCTGTAATCCTAGCACTCAGGAGGTTGAGGCAGGAGGAGCTCAAGTTTGAGGCCAGCCTGGACTATGTAATGAGATACTGCCTCAAAATATAAACAAACAAAAAGAAAAAGTGGGAGAGGTGTCTGAAGTAGTAGAGTGCCAGCTTTGCAAGAGCAAAGCCTGAGTTCAAGCCTTAGTCTTGCCACACACAAAAAAGTGGATTTTACAAAATTAATACTTCTGCATCTTTAGATTACTAAATAGGATTTTTTTTTTTTTCAGTATTGTGGCTTGAACTCAAGGCCTATACCCTGACCCACTGCACCAGCCCTTTTTTGTGATGGGTTTTTTTCTGGATAGGTCTCATGAACTATTTGCCTATGGCTGGCTTCTTACTGGCCACCTTCCTGAGTAGCTAGGATTGCAGATGTGAGCCACCGGTGCCCAGCTAACTATGAATTTTTAGAGGCATATCATTCTAAGATATAAGTAATTATGAAAAAAGCTGTTTATCTTATTTTTGTTCTTCAGAAAGTTATATAAATTCATCTTTGCACTGTGGATTATGACTAAAATTTGAAATTATTATGACTAATAAAATTGTGCAGGTAGGTGAAACCTAATAATGACATCTTTAAAAGGTTTTCTGACTCTTGTCAGCTTGGAAATTGTGTCTCCTGGAAGTTGTAATGAGATAATTTCATTAATTCTATAGCATGCAATTTATTCATTGTTTTGTATATTCAAACCATGGTGCAACCACTAACTGAATTGCCCTGTCTTAGTAAAACATCATTTTGTATAGCCTTTAAACCAGCAGAAATGTGATTCCTATTCCATCAGGAAGGTAATAATTAGAACCAGACATAAATAACCCTGTGGTAAATAAAGCATGTATCCCTACACAAATTCCTCAGCAGTAATGGATCTGTCAACACACCCACAGGTGATTAAAATTATACACTCATTCAAAGATTAACTTATACTTAAAGAATGAAAGGATTTCCACCTTTTCCTAGCCTAGAATATGAAAACACTTTCTGTCACATATGACACTACTGATTTCTAAAATTTCTGGAAGATGATAATGCTATTTTTAATAAGAAATCAAGTTTTCTCACTAGCATGTTGTATTTACATTACTAGAACAATGGTTTCACAGATTAATGTCACTCAGAAACTACCTATAACCCCTAAGCAGTGAATTTATAAAGACATACAATTTTAGTTTCATGCATGCACATAATATTCATAAATCGGCCTTAGCTAGTGGCTCAGAATGTTTTCCCATTAATTTTTTATTAGGATATGTTCATTGTACAGGAGGGAATCACTGCGATGAATGCAGAGGGTGAACTTGCAGGGTGAACTTGCTCAAAGCACTGTTGTGAGGCAGTGTAAAGAGTTCTTGCCTGCGTGGGCCAAAGAATTGGCTTGTGAGTCAGCACATTGACTTGTGAGACAGCAAGGTTGGCACACAAAGTGGGATTTATTAGAGAAAGAAAAGGCTGCAGCTACCGCAGTGCAGCAGAGCCCAGAAACTGGTGGCTCCCTGCTGAGGTGAAGGCTGGGGCTTTTTATGGATGCTTTAATTCTGGGTTAGGGTAAGGGTTAGGTGGGCTTTTTCCATTGGTTGTGTATTCATATGCATGGGCTCTCTTCGATGAGCTGGTCTGTTTGCCCCTTATGGGGGGAAGCATCAGCCCTGTGGCAGATTTATGACACCCTGTATCTCCTTCTCAGGGAGCAGGGCTCATAGTGCTCTCCATGGGGGATGGGATACTTATTCACTCATCTGTCCTTTAGGTCTCCAGACTCAACAGTACATTGTATGCATTATCACAGTGAATACCCTCATATCACTAATGTATGTTAATTCAAAAAATTAAATATAATTTTAAAAAATTTACAAAAAGAAAAAACTAATCTCCAGCACTCAGATAATACAGGGTGACCAGTATTCTGGAAATATATGTGGAAAAGGACTGGAGCATCAAGTTTTTTATTTTTAATTTATTTTTAGTGATAGCACTGTTGGGATTTGAACCCAGGTATCCATGCTTCCTAAGCAAGCCCTCTACCACTGATCTATATCCCCAGCCCTATTTACTGTAATTTTAATGAAGTTTCCATGAAGCATGGAGGTAAATGCATATGTTTAATTCTATACCTTTTTTTCATAGGTCTCTCCTGAATTCAGGTGAAGTGTTCCCATGCATAATTAAATTTTCAAAGTCTAAAGAGAATGAGCATCTTTATCCTACTTCTGAATAATACAAGATTTTAGCTATTTTAATTTATATTTGTATCCAATTTTTTTCTGTTTACCTTATAAATTATAAATTGTCGTGCTATAGTCAATGCACAGTTAGATATCTGTGTGTCTCTGTTCATTATTTCATTTTGTATCTCAAACCACTTCCAAAATAATTTTCCTTCTTTCAGAATTAAGCACTATACAAATTCCTTTACTGAGTATCTCTTTAAATTTTCTTTATGTTGATCTAAAACTGTGTTGTCCCTGAATTGTGGAAAAATTTCAGAGTTCAAACTCTTGCTGAATGTTGCTTTCCCCACATTTTCTTTAATTTTATCCTCTAGAATGCCAATTAGATATATGTTACATTTCTCATTTTATCCTCCTATTTCACACTCTCATTTTCCACATATTTGATATCCAGAGCTGAATTGCAGGTAATTCTTGTAGTTTTCAACCTACTACTTGGCAACTTTGCTGTTCAGTTACATTGAATTTACTATTCAAATATTTTAATTGGTTATATTAGTCAGCTTTATATCACTAAAACAAAATACCTGATGCAGGATACTTATGAAGGGAAAAAATAAGTAAATAAAATGTTTATTTAGCTCACAGTTTTGGAGGTTCAAGGGCTTTGGGACCACATCAGCTCAGTAGGGCCCCATGGAGGGAAACATGGCGGAAGGCAGGAAAATG